TGGCATTTAAGAAAGCTATGTAAATAAAATGCATGATGTATTAATACTCTGTGTAGGGCTAAACACTGAACTCACAGTCATAGATTGTTTCAAGAACTGTGAAGGATATATAAAAGCTGATTTACTGTGCATTCAATTTAGGGCACTAGCATACAAGTGTGACTTCAAGGGAGTTCAGAGAAACATCCCACAAAGGCACATGCACTCAGCCCTGCAGCAGTGGGCAGAGAGCTCTTGTGCAGAGCACGAGGACGCTTGCATGGCAAAGCAACCACATTGCTTGTCCACTTATCTCAAGCACTATCTGGGGGTCTAAAGAGAGCTGTCATAGGCAAAGTCTCTGATCAAAATGTACATGCTGAGGACCAAAAATTAAAAAGGCATAACTCAAGTTTTCTACTTACTAGGTCTAAGAAATAGCTCTCAAGGTATTAGAAGAGTCTCCTAGATAAGGCCTCAGGGTGTTCTAAATCAGAGACTGCCCTAGAAGCCAGAGCACCCTCATAGCTAGGAGTTGATTTACAAGACCACAGAGCCTGCAGAGGATACAACTACTAAGGCCAAGAGAGCTTGGGGCATAAGTTAGGAGGGCCCAAGGGAGGATAAAGGAAACAAATCTCTGCCTCCACACAACAGGATTCTGGAGGCTCCTGGCGGCTCCTGGCCAGAGAAGTCATAAGCCAAAGATCACAGCTGCAGAAGGCTTTTCTCAACATTTTTACTCCTCTCATCAGAGCAGGACTATTCTCTAGGATTACAGACAGCTGCTTCTGGGCCAAGAGGCTCTTAGTTCCCTCTTACGAACATAAACATGATGACTATGAAAACAGTAAAAGTGCCAATAACAAAATTAGCAGAGTTGATGGCAAACAACTTTATGTTAAAAGGAGAGAGTAGAAGGCAAAATATGCTCCCTAAAGGCATCTAGAACCCTGCGACTTGTGAATATGGTCCTGTGCCTTTGCAGAGGCGCTAAGAAAGATCTAGACAGGCTGTGCATGGTGGTGTGTACTTTGAATCTCACTACTTGGAAAGCAGAAGCACATTGCTATCTGGGACTCTGAGGACAGCCTGGTCTACACGGCCACTTCAAAGTAAGCCAGGTCAACACAGTTAGACCAAGTCCAAACGAAACAAACTGACAAAGAAACAGTAGGTAAAAACATTCTGAACTATGTTGCTAGCACCATGAAATCATGGGAGTCCTTGAAAGAGGAGGCACAAATTCAGAAAAAGTGATGAGATTTCAGGGGGTAAAAAGTCCATGTGGTATGCAGTCATGTTAGGGGTCTGGAGAGCTGGCAGAAGCACAGGAACAGATTGTCCCCTGGAGCCACTCTGAGGAACCACACCTACCGCCACCTTGACTTGGGACAGCCAGACTACCTACATACCTGAAAGGACACAACTCCACATTGTTCCAGACTTCTGACTTTGTAGTCATGTGTCAAAGCAACAACAGAAATGGATACATACTTTGGTTTCTTGAAGCACGACACTATTTATAACAAACACCTTAAAGTGTAGAAGTGGTCTAGAGATTAGTTACTGAAGAAATTAAGAGGTCATGATAGGGGCTTCCACATGGAAGGCTGGGGTGGGTGAGAGGGGAGAACAGTGTTAAAAAGCAGGAAAAAAGAATAATCTTAACAAGGATTAAATGGGGTTGAGAGTGGGAGAACAGATTAGAGGGAACACAGGACAACTAATATCAAAGACCTTCTTGTTGTGGAGTATTAGTTTAAGATGTGTTATATTCATTTATGCTGTGAAATACTTGTTTAATGATGCAAAGATGTGTTGCATTCTTTTATGTTGCATTTGTTTAACTCTGTAAAGCTGTGTTACTTCTTCGCCTGTCTAAAACACCTGATTGGTCTAATAAAGAGCTGAACAGCCAATAACACTTGATTGGTCTAATAAAGTGCTGAACAGCCAATAGCTGAGCAGGAGAGAGGGAAAAATGGGGTTGCCAGGCAGAGAGAATAAGTAGGAAGAGAAATCTAGGCTTAAAAGAAGAGGATAAAGAAAAGGAGAAGGAGAGGAAGATGCCAGGGGCTAGCTACCCAGACACACAGCCAGCCATTGAGTAAGAAGGGAAAAAGATATATAGAATAAAGAAATGTAAAAAGTCCAGAGGCAAAATTTAGTTAAAGAAAAATGGGATAATTTAAGTTAGAAAAGCTGGCTAAAAACAAGCCAAGATAAGGCTGGGTATTCATAAGTAAGAATAAGTTCTATATTCATTTGGGAGCTGGGTGGAGGCCTCCAAAGAGTTAAAAAAAAAAAAAAAAAACTAAACCCTCTTACATACTTGCATGAGAAAACGGCTACTGTAGAAGATTTGCTCTTAATTAAGGTTTCTACTGCTGTGATAAAATACCAAGACCTTCCAGGAGCAATCAGGTGGTCAAGGCAGGTGAATCTCCGTGAGTTTGAGGCCAGCATGGTCTATAAAGCGAGGTCCAGGACAACAAGGGCTATACAGTGAAACCCTGTCTCCAAAACAAATGAACAAACAAAGAAATGAACAAAAAACTCCCAAAACAAAACAAAAAACCCCACCACTAAGACCTAAAGCAACTTTGGGAGAAATGGATTTATTTCATCTTACAACTCTCAGATCATACTTCATAATGAAGGGAAGTCAGGGCAGAAACTCAAGGCAGGAACCTGGAGGTAGGCACTGAAGCAGAAACCATGTAGGAATGATGTTTACTCACTTGCTCAGCCTACATTTGTATATACCTCAGGACTACCTACCCAAAGATGGCACTGCCCACAGTGGACAGGACTCTCTCACATCAATCACTGATGATAATAATAATACCCTACAGACTTGTCTACAGGCTAATCTTATGGAGTATTCTTTTTAGATATATTTAGGTTTGTATCAAGATGAAAAAATTATATAGATAGATAGATAGACAGACAAACAGATACAGAGAGGGGGAAGGAGAGAGGGAGGGAGGAAGAGAGAGAGAGAGAGAGAGAGAGAGAGAGAGAGAGAGAGAGAGAGAGAGAGAGATTGAGAGAGATTAAGTGGAGTTACTCTCTAACAGGACAATAATGTCCCTAGAATACACCATAGCCTAACAAACTAAAAGCCCAATGTCAGGAATGGGTTACCTCTTCTGGAGTTGTTGGTCTGTAAGGTCCCATAAACCACCACATATTACAGGCCTTTGCCATTGCATTTAGTAACCATTCCAAGTCCTGTTGCTGAAGACATACGGAACTATAGAGTACTAGAATATGGAGAAATGAAGCTCGTACAGCTCTGGAAGCTTTATCCCTAATGACTGGCTTTCATAGTGCTATGTTGTGTTATGAACACTACTGGATGAAATATTCAGATATGAAACCCGGGAGCTTCAATAACAACCTGCCCATCTAGATAAGCCCACCAGTGCTATAATGCCATAAATAACGAACAATATTTGATTAGATTTCAGGCCTGCTCTACAAGATGGAACACATATCTGGCACTGTTATAAGAGCTAAAAACCCTGTGGCTAGACAGGACACAGGACCTAGGGAATAGTTACAACTTCTCCACTCAAAGGACACAATATTAAAATAACTCCTAATGACTTATCATTATACCCACCTATTAGTATATATCTCAAACCTGATTACAGAAGCTTTTGATTGTTTTCGATAGATGATAACCGACAAGTGGTCAAGGTGAAGAGAATAAAGCAGTAGAGTGCTTATACATAAATGGGGCACTTATAACACACTTTTCTCCTTCCAAGTCTCAGAGGGATCAATGCAAAAGAGGGAGTGGACAGACTGTAAAAGCCATAGGCGGTGGATGACTGCAACAAAACAATTCCTTCTGGATACAATAGAGCAGGTACACACAAGAACTCTCAGAAACTGGGACAAAACCAATATAAGTTCGAGCCAGACAAAGTCCCAGTACAGAATGGGGGATTGATTATCAAGTCCCTAGCTGAGAAGTTATTGGTAGAGAGCTGGAGGAAGAAGGAGAGTTAGCTTTCTTCAAGGGTGTGCCATCTGGTAGGTGGAATAACATAATGGATGCCCACAAAACCAGCACTAATTGGACTGTTTTAATTTATTTACATTTTATTTTTTTACTGAAAACACAAAGTTGAGAGGGTAGAGAATGAGTGGTGGATTTGGGAAGAACTGGGAGAGGAAGTGAATATAATCAAAATATAATTATGAAATTCTTAATAAAAACATGTATTAAACTTATTTTAAAAGGAAGAGTTTATTTTGGTTTAAAGATCCAGAGGATATAGCCCACTATGGCAGGGAAGAAATAGCAGAAAAGCAAAAGACAGATGGCCATAATCAGCAAGTCCATAGTCAGCGAGGAGCTAGTATGGGTGCTTGTGCAGAATTCCTTCTCCTTCTAATTCAGGCAGGACTCCAGTTCTTTGAATGGCACTGGCTACATGAAGGGTAGGCTTTCTGATCTTGACTTATGTCTTAGTTAGAGTTTCTATTGCTGTGAAGAGACACCATTGCCACAGCAACTTTTATACAGGAAAACATTTAATTCAGGCTGGCTTAGAGTTTCAGAGGTTTAGTCCAATATCTTCATGGTGGCATACAAACAGACTTGGTGCTGGAGAAGTAGTTGAGAGTTCTACATCTTGATCCACATGCAGTAGAAGCAACTGTGTCATTGGGCATGGCTTGAGCATGGCACCACAAAGCCTGGCTCCACAGTGACACATTTCCTCCAATAAAGCCATACCTCCTAATAATGCCACTCTCCCTACGGACCAAGCACTTAAACACTTGAGTCTATGCAGCCATACCTATTCAAACCACCACAACTTAAAGAAATACCCACAGATTTGTTTCAATGATGACTTCAAAACCCATCAAGTTGACAGTAAAGATCGTCACCCTGATTTTTACAATATTATTTAAAAATTCAAGTTTTCAAGTAGAAGATCCTCCTATATTTTGATGACCATTTTTTATCAACATTATCCTAATTCTTACAATTATCCTACCTGAAACTTGACCGTCTGATTGATGTCTGATAGGCGGAACTGCTTCAGGAAGCGCTCGTCCTCACTCCAGAAGAGGCGGATGTCAGGGATATCGTAGAGGATCATAGCCAGTCTTTCTAACCCCAGGCCAAAAGCCCAGCCAATTTGATCTTGAGCACCAGCTGTGAGGAGAAACAAAGGAAAAGTCTGTTTAGGAAAGCACCAAGATCACACAGATGCCTGGTGCACTCCGATGAAAACTGGCAATGCCTCAGTGGCAGGGCTGAAGAGTACTATGGACTCACCTAAGACAATGTTCAATCGCACTTTTTCCTTTATTCCACACTTACACTTCTGGGATCATACCAGCTTGGGGAGTCTTTAACTTCTCAATAAAGGTCAAAGGGGAGGTTTGTTTTCCATGTTTCTCCTCCTTTCTTCCCTCCCTCCCACACCCTCTATGTATATATTTGGGTGCATTTGTGTGTAAAGGTGAATGTGTTTCTGTTGAGGCCAGAGGTCAACAACAGGTACCTTTCTAAGTCCCTTTTGTACCTTATTTTTTAAAGATTTATTTATTTTTATTTTATATGTATGGCTGTCTTGCCTGCATGTATGTCTGTGCACTACACACATACAGTACTCACAGAGGCCGAAAGAGAGCATCGGCGCCTCCAGACCTGGAGCTCCAGGTGGTTGTGAGCTGCCAGATGGGTGCTAGGACCTGACCCTGGGTCCTCTGCAGGAATAAAAAGTGTTCTTAACCATTGCCAGCCTCTATACCTTATTTTGGAAATAGAGTCTCTTAATGAGCCTAAAACTCGCTGATTCAGACACTGGCTGGACAGGAAGTCCCAGAACTCCTCCTGTCTTTATCTTTCCAGCATTGGGGTGACAAGCATTCGCTGTCATGCCTGGTTTTTCACTTAAGTGCTGGGGATCCAGTCAGGTCCTCATGCTAGCATAGCAAATACTTTACCAACAGAGGCATCACCCCAGCTCCATGTCCAAGCCCTGGCTCCTACCTCTGAATTAGGATTTTCTGTAATCTGTGTTTGCTCCAATTCAAACATTAAGTACCCTATATGCACACCTTAAGAGAAAGGAAGACAAGATCTCTCCCTAAGTAATTTACTATATAGAGAGAAGTCTTCACAATGTGTCACAGCAGATGGCTGACATTCAGAAAACAGTATCAGGCCTTTAAGAACTGGGTACATGCCCCCATCCCTAACCCAGAAGCTATTGCCAATTGATAACCACTTGAAAATGAAAATTTAGATTTCTCTAAGGGAGTCTCGCTGGGGAAACAAATTACTCTTAAGGGTAGACTGCATGCCAAGCAGTAGATGGTACAGAAAATTAACTCAATGGCATCTTTGTAGATTCCTTGTCTCATAATGTCATATCAAGGCTTTTTTTTTTCATTAATTCTCTCTCATTCTCTCCCTATCCCCCCCCAATCATAGAGGTCCTTTGCATATATATTATGTCTTCTGGTGTTATGTTTTTATGGCATTCCCGAGTGTATGAATGAGTGAGTCTCTGCATCTATATCTGTTTCTTGTGCCGTTTCTTGGGATCTCTTTTTGTTTGTTTGTTTTTCCCTATTGTGATGTGTTTGGTTTTGTTTTATCATTATATTATATTATATTATATTATATTATATTATATTATATTATATTATATTATATTATATTATATTATATTATATTTTATTTTATTTCATATTATAATCCCTTAGAAACCTGTTCATTTTTTAATGAGAGATAGAAAGGGGGTGGATTTGGATGAGACGGGAGGTGGGGAGGAACTGGGAAGAGAGGGCAGGGAAACTGTAATTAGGGTGTGTTATATGAAAAAAACTCAATAAACACTTCACCTTTTTAAAAATATCATATCTTTATCCTTCATAAGCTATCTCAAGAATGTGGAAAGAGCAAGCAAGCAGCTGGGAAATGTGTATCCAAAAGTATTTATTCCAAAGGTAATGTGTCCTGTTCAGATTATGATACAGCCATGAATTTTAAGGCTGTATTTCACATATATGAGGCATAATAAAAAATGATATAAAGTAAATGATATAAAGTACTATGTGGAGGAAGGCATAGGAGCCCTTCATACATCTAGAAAAGCTTATGCAAAGAGCTCATAAAAGGAATTGCATTCCAAGTGAACACCAGTGATGAACAGGGTTCCATGGTAGTCAGAGGTGGCCCCAAAACCCCCACCTCCATGTACATGTCCTAGAGAAAGCCCTCCCTGAGTGTGGTAAGGCCCCATAAAGGATGAGATTTCATGCCTGTGATTAGCCTGTTTTATATAAGGCAGCCATATGGTCTTTAAAGCTTTAAGAATCTGCCAGAGGAAATGAGAACCTCATTCCTATTATCCTAAGGAACAAATTACCCCAATACCCTGGTGTGCTGAGAAGTTGGCTTCTGAACTCCAGATGAGTTTTCTGCCAATGCCTATTTCAACATGATTATACTCTTCATTGTCTGGCCAAAAGGCTTTGTCGAGGGGATAGAGAGATGTCTCAGTGGCTAACTGCATGTACTTACTTTGTAGAGGACTGCAGTTTGATTCCCAGCAACCACATTAGTCAACTCATAACACCAATAACATTAAGGGAATCTGACAACTCTATCCCCCCAGACATCTGTAATCACCCCCCCCCATACACACCTTCTTTTCAAAAAATATCAAAGCTTGCTTAGGTTGTGACACCCAATCATCATGAAAGGTTTCAAGGAAGAGGATGGTTTGTTGAGCTGTAACAAATTTCATTTATAAAACACTTTCTATTGGTCCCATCTAGACTTATATCTGAAATACACTCAGCACTATATCATGGTTCATTAAATTATTAAGACAATGCCAGGAATGTCTGTTAGGAATACTGGTTACCAAACACAGTCTTCTGCAAGAGGCTTCAAGAAATAAATAGATCTCAGATCTAAGAAAATTCCTGTGAGTCTTATGAACAGAAAAGGCTTCCTCCAGAACAACTGGGCTGTTTTTAACTTTGAGGATGCCATGCATTACATAATTGGTCATAATAATTCACTTTTTATTTCACCCTCATGGAAACTTAGAGCCAAACACGTATATCCACTCAACACCTGAAAAAAAAATATCCAGGATGTAAGTCTATGTGACTTCTACCCCAGTTTTATTTTCATATCCTGATTTCCATGTTGCCCTGATTATTTCAACTATTTGTTTTATCCTCTTCTATGTGTTTTACAAAGTGCTTCAAATTATTTGTGGAAGAGAGCAAGCCATAAATAAACAACACTGAAAACCAGTGTCAGTTGAAGTGGGGACAATCTTGGACTCTTTGGCATACTTGGCTGGAATGGATTGACAGGTGTTCAAGGTGGGAAAGAGCTTACAGTAGGATTCCCCCTCATTCTAGAATCATAGACTGCAGGAAGACAGAATCACCAGAAGAGAGAACTCAATGCAGATGGGCATCCTCACCAACAGAACCCTTGCTATGAGAGGCACCCAGACATTCTAATAAATGCCATTCTGCAATGACTAAACATCCTATGAAAGGATGTTTTCATATTTTCATTGTTGCTGAACATCTTTACAAGAAGGCCAGTCATGCAGGAGAGGAAAAGAATGTGTGGGAGTCCCGAGAAGGGGAAGTTAAGGAAAGCGAGGAAGAGTAGGAGCTAGGCAATAGAAGAGAAGACAGCAAGATATGACCCCTGTGGAAGTAGAGAAACAAAATTGATCTTATGCTTTTAGATGATTCTAACCCATGGGTGAGATGGCTGGCCCTCCAGGCCCTTGCCTCTACAGCTATTGAGGAGAAGGGATTGAAATACTACCTAGTGCCTATTAGAAGATGATACTTCAGGAGCAGATTTCCCTTCAGAGATTACAACATAAAAACAAAGATTATAAAACTAAAGATAAATTTTAAAGTAAAATATAATTCCAGAGTAGAGGAAGCTAGAAAAAGCACACAAATTGATACTCCCACTGAACAGTGGAAGATTGCTCCCTTCTTTCCTCAGAAGCAGAGAGGTACTTTACTCTTTAATCTACAATTCTTCATCAATGGCCTATTTAACCCTGGGAGACAGAAGAAAATCTTCATTAGGGATATAATTTAGGTCTAAAGAATGGCTCAGTGGGGCATGGGCTGATTTTCCATAGGCTCTGAATTTGGATCTCAGTACCCATACCCCACACCCAGCAGCTCACACCATCTGTAATACAGCTCCAGGAGATCCAGAGCCCTCTTCTGCCTTTGTGGGCATCTTTATTCACATGCACCTGGCAGCTGCATAGTCACATACATACGCACAAATAAAGATAAATCTTTAAAAACTGTAATTACTAAAGCGTTCATGGTCTCCTTTTATAGTTTTGCATTCTTAGCCCTTGCCATCCTAACAAATGGTGGTATGCATTCTTGGCTCTTAAAAAAAAGTAAAGGAATTCCCAGAAGACAATTTCTATAGCAGTTATAACATGAGAGTAAAAATTCATTAAAACTAAAGATAATAGAGTTTTAAAGTAAAGTAAAATTTCAGAAGGGCATGCTTAATAAATAAACACACACACACACACACACACACACACACACACACACACACTCACTCGCTCGCTCACTCACTCACTCACACAAACCAATAGCCCTTATGAACACAAATGCATAAATCCTCAACAAATTACTAGCAAACTAAATTCAGCAGCATATTAAAAGGATTATACACCATGATCATATGGGATTTGTGCAGGAATGCATGTTAAGGGTAATTCAAAATATAAGACCCAATGAAAGTAATATAGCCATCTAGTAGAAAAATGTGGGGAAATGCACACTATTATCATAATTAATGCCAAAAAAGCACTTGTTAAAATGCAACACTCTTTCATGATTAAATAGATTTCCAAAAATTAGATCACAATGGAATTTCCTCCACATGAAAAAGATTGTGCATGAATAACTCATAGTTGACATCATATTGAGTTGTGAAGAAGCGACAGGGTGTTAGTTACCCCACTTCTACTCACAGAGTACTGACAGTTCTAAACAGAAAAAGTAGGCAAGAACAAGGGATAAAAGATACCCGTTTGGAAATCACGAAACATAATTATCTATTTATAGATGACACAATTTTCTGTGTAGAAAACTTTAATGAGTCCATGAAAAAAC